CAGTGACGTCCTGCTTCCAACAGTGGCGGTCTTCAGATCTATCACAGTTGAAGGACATCACGGTGAACGCAGATTGCTACCAAACCTTTTTTACCTGAAATGATTTCTAATGGAAATCAGTAACATTTTCTGCAAATCATTCCCACTTGGTGAAATGTCTTTTTACGTGAGACATCTATAACTTTTATAATAACCTGGAATTTTGAGGATTGTTTTTGTGAATAAACTCAGCATATTCAAAAACAAATTTCATGTGGACACCCTAATTGTGGAGGATCTTGTGCCCACCCACAATTTTCTTTACAGTATGCCTACTCTTAGTTTTGTTCTGGCTGGAGTTCCAGAACTTTTTTGAGCTTCTGAGTACTACTTTGGTTCCTAGATGATTTTAGGATTATTTTGCAGAGAGAAATGATGAGAACAGGAGAAAAAAAAATGGTCAAGTTGAGCAGGGAAGCAAAGAAACAACCATAAGACTGCATTTACTGAGAGCAAGAATTCTAGCGAGTTCTGTTTCTTGGCTCCTCATCTCTTATAGGAGTATGTCCGCCTACAGGCTGTATGCAAGACTGTGACTTAAACTCCTGTCTAGACACTGAAACCTTCTGGTGAATATCTTTAGAGTAAAGCCTCTCTATATCTTCATGGTGAAAATGATTTATACCTATTCCCTAATTTCATCCATCTCATCAATGATTTTAGGATTACCTCATTGATCTGGAAATAGTACAGTAATTTTATTCAAGGTGCTAGAGGTCAATTAAGGAAAACTTTTTTTCTTTTGGACCATTTAGTGTATCTGAGTTTTTTTGTTTGTTTTTTTGTTTTCCCTGAAGGTTTGCGAACACAGAGGACCAGTACCTATTTTATGGAAAGCAAATGTGGAATTTACTGGTCTGGCTACAACATGCAAACAATTCCCCGCATATGAAGAATGCTTCCACATTCTCTGGCTTGTCAAAGCAAGACCACCTAACTGTTCACTGGAGGTATATATAGCATAGATATACTATTGAATGAATGGAAACTATATCCAACACTGACATTCAGCAGATACAAGAGGAATCAGTCAAAATAGAAATGTACGTGATAGGTTCAACAAGGTCCAGTTGAAATATGCCCATCTGACTTGGGTGTCTCTCAGACTTTAATAGACTCCACTAGGTAACTGACAGTTATCTGATGGTTAATTCTGTTTGTCAGTTTGGCTTCGTCTGGAATAAGCTAAAATCCAGGATACTGGATACTCCTATGAGGGATTTCTTAGATTATTTGAATAAGAAAACCACACCTTCAATCTGGGTCACAACCTTGATGGGAGCCCAGATTATATAATGAATATGGAAAAAGACACTGCTGCTGTTTTTCTCCCTGCATGCCCTTTCTCACTGTCAAATCCATGTGTCTTGTTGCTTTGGTTTTCCTCAATCACTATTAAAAGCAACATTGGGATTCTAATAAAGACTGAAGACCAGAGGCACTCCAGGGATCTTGCAGGTCTCCAGGGCCAGACTTGGTGGGACTGTTGAGATGTCCAGACTATCGGATGGGACAGCTACCACCTTAGTTTCTACAATATCTCCATGAATCCCCTCTTACCAGACTGTAAGGCAGCACAATAAATTCTCTTTTACTACTACTAATACATAGATGCATTTTTTTATCCTAAAATTTCTATTCCTTTACAGAAAACTTTTACAATTCTAGATGTTTGCTACTCACATTTTTACCTGAAAATATAGATGATAAATTTTTACCTGAAAAGCTAGATGATTTTGCTTGTAAAAAGCATCACACCATGAATACAGTGAAACCTATGACATTCAGGACACACAGAAGGCTTTAACTGAAAGATACATTGCAATAGTGTAGAAAACATTAAGTAATAGTCTTTTTTGCCAAATTCTGTAAAAGTTCCATGACAAAGAATTTAAATCTTTTTATCTCTCCCATCTCCTAAGACTCTTATGTAAATCATTTTAGCTCCCTCAGCTAGTAAAACCTTTATGCAATGGCTTTAATCCTCCCTTCCAGTAAAACATTTCCTTTCTTAAAACCTTTACTGCATTCCAGGGACTTGATGACCTGGAGCTATGATCTGCTTTTCTCTTTCTTGAGTTCTCTTCTTTCCAATTCTTTAAAAACTAGCCAATCTGGACGAAAAGCTGTGAGATTAGACCCCAGACAATTGGGAAAAGAAAGAGTCAACACTTGATTAAGGTAACCTGTGAGCCCTTCTTATCTGGGGGAGCTTATTTTGCTGTTCCTGTGAGTAACACACCTTCTTCATCAAGAATAAAATTTACCCCACTGTAGTGACAGCTTAATTGGATAGGAGAGCTCTTTCTTTGCCACCTCAAAATTATTTGTAACAACAGAGACTTTTTCTTTTTCTAGAGACCACATTAGATAATATTATAGAAAAAGTTTGTCACCAAATTAACAGTATTGAAGAATCAGGCAAATTATGAGAAACAGTACTGGAAAGTCTCAGCAGAGAAACTCCATGGTCTGATCCATTATGAAAAGTATTTACTGTTTATGTAGAAGAGGCCTCACTATGTTCAAAAATTCATTTAATCTATAACATTTCTGACTATATTTTTAATGTAGCATTTTAGTGGTTGTTTTACATATTACATTATATTTGCAAGACTTATCTCAGCCTAATTATTTTAACTAATATTTACCAATGTAATTAGTATGCTTAAACCGTGCTTCCTTTCACCTGATCTCATCCCTTTTATATTTCCTCCACAGTGACACACATAGCACACTATTACACTGTTTTTGTTTTCAGAAATTTGGAGGCTCTTAGAGAGAAAGGACAGAGGGTGGATCTTGTGTATGGAAAAAAAAAACAAACTTAGGCCTTTTCTTAGATGCTAGAGAATAAGGAAAACTTGAGAGTTTAAGGAACGCTGCAGAACAGGGAGCCGAAGGACTGTAGGAGTTGGAGGACTGATGGGCACCAGAAGAATGTGGTCCACTGAATCATCAACTACAGGCTTCCAAAGTGCTCCTAGGGACAGCAGTGGAAAACAAACGGCTTGCATTGGTCTGCACCAGGTCCTGGGCTTGCGGTGTTGAGTTGTTAGCTTGGCCTTTTGTCAGATTCCTAACTGGGAGCAGGTGTGTCCTTGAGTCTTTTACCTGCTGTTGGGGCTCTTTTCTCCCTGTTGGGGTTCCTACCTTGTATTATTATATGTTATTTTGTCTTGTTTGGTTGTTGTCTTTTGTAGGCCTGCTCTTTTCTGATGGGAGTGGGAGGCAAAGTAGATGGGGCAAGTATAAATCGTGGGTGTGATAGGGGAGGAATAGAGGGAGGGGCAGCTTTAGTTGGAATGTATTGTATGAGAGAAAATTCTGTTTTTAATTAAAAAAGAAAAAAAAAAGGACCTTCAGAAGGAGGAAACATCTCCAATGACAGCCTATATATGTAAGGTGGAACTGGGATTATATTTATTAAATTTTATACAGAAAAGAATCATGTGACTATAGTTTTACCTGAATACAAAAATTCACACTTTCCTTTCACAAGTAAGTTCACAATGATAAAATTATAATTTTTTTTAAAAATCAATTCTGTAGATTATTTGGCTATTTAAGTATATGCTTATCTTATAATGAATCCCTCTTCACTACCACTATTTTTCTGTTTTACATTAGAAAGTCTACTAATTGTATTCTATAATGTCATTGTGATTCATATGATTGTTTTTACCTTGGATATTCATTATAATCCCCTGAAGAAGGATTTTGATGTGATGACCCCATTCCAGAGATTAAAGATTCAGTGGTTATGCCAATCTCAGAATTTCTCTAAATGTACCTCGTATACTGCCTTTATACCTTACAGGCATGTATCCTAAGAAGCGACAATCAGCATGCACAGGTAACCTATATAAGGTAACAGAGAGAAAGTGATTGGTTTACTTCTCCTATGCGTTGATTCTAAAGCTCTTGGCCTATACAAGAATAAATAATATAAGACCTCTTAGCAAATAATATTTGCTAAGAGGAGGATTAGGTCAGTTTCTCTCTACTAGAGCACATGAAGAAAACTGACGATTTCAACAATTCTTCCAACTACTTTATACATTTCAAAACGCAGGCCAAGTGGTTTATGTTTTGAAGATAATTCTAGAAAAATAATACATGGGGAGTACCTAAATTATTGTCAAATTCTTCTTACAGCGACTAGGTTTTTTGGTGTTTCAAGATAACTTATGCTTATTGGCATGAGTGCATAAAGACAGAAAGCAAAAATCTATTAAAAATGATCATAAGAGCATTTTTGCTTTTTATTAAGAAAAGCTCTGATTTACTAATATTCTGTTTTAGGAAATGCACTGAGATTATTCATTTTGACCAAGAAAAGAAATCATTCTTTCCATTTGCTTAGAATATTCACAGAAATAACAACCCAATATTTTTTCAAGTGATGTACTGTAGATTGATTAATGTGTTTATATATTGCAAAGGGATATTCTAATTTCAAGAGGTATTTTTTGATGGTATAGTTAAAAGCAAACCACGGGGCTAGAGATACAAATCCACACTCTTACAGAAATGGGAATTATATATTTTGTTCCATCAACATGTCTTCTTTACATTATTCAGCACAAAGCTTTGTGAAATAAGAACCATGGGAATATAAGAAGATAAAGGAAAAAAGGTACAAATAACAGCTTCATAAACTGAGAAATGTACATAAATAAATCATGTATATGTGGGCAGTTTGCTTAGCTGGCAAGAAACAAAATATGGAAAATCTGCTTGTTAAACAATAACTACAGAGTGTGCTTTTATGATGTTTTTCGCCACAGTAATTCATATTAGAGATAGAAGCAGTTGCATGTTAAATAAAATCATTGAGCATTGCTCCCTGAGCATTGCAAAGAGCTGACTTATGTTGTTTTTAGATGCCTCCCATTACAAAGTAAATATTCCTTTCAATGCAACGCATTTCGGAGACTCTAATAAAGACAAACGGTAAATAAAGTCACAAGGCGATTTCAGACATTTTTATTAGGAGATTGTTGAAAAGAAAAAGGAAATTAAATACAATAACAGTAAACGTGGTTCTCACATTGAAACCAGGCTCAAATAACTAGGCTACCATAGAAAAATTTCCAATTCTTGCATTATGATGTAAAAACAGATTTTTGTACAGATTTTGTACAACAAAATTCGTAATAACCTTTTATCATTTTTAGAAAACTTTAAATATATAGATAAAAATAGACAATTTTCATAGGTCCTACATGAAGATGAGTATGTTCTGTTCCAAGGGCTTGCATAGAGCGCAAATATGGTTATAATATAGAACAACTAGACGTTAATATTTGTAAGATTAAAAAAGCATGGAAACCATAAAATGGACACGATTTTACTTGCTTACACCAAAACACAAGTTTCTAAACAAACCTGTTTAACTAAAAAGGGGAAAATTAAGTTACAAACTTACATTAACATTGTGTGAATTGTATTATTTACAACGGGTTAATAAGAGTCTCAACATACAGCGGACAGCATTTTTCTTCAGTTCTAATATTTTCTTTCTGTTGAACCAAACACTAAAGCATTCTCAGAGGTCTTTCATGTATGCATTTCAAAATGATGAGCCCCACTTAACAGGCGACTCTATACCAGGAGCAGAGCAGAGACCAACTCTGCTGCCTATGTAAATGGTAAGCTTTAAAAAACTCTGTTAATGTATGACTCCAAATCTTGACACAAGTCCATCCAATTTTAAGTGTTGTAACTTTTGAAAGACTGTATGTAGGGAAAAACAAACAAAATATACCTGTAAGTAGGAAAAGACTCTCTTTTCCTCAAACAACAAAACATGGTCATGGAAGAATTATGCTCAGCAAACCAAGTTTCTATAAAGCAGTTACTAATAATATTTTAAATTAAAATATCACTCCCTTTTAAAGCAAGCTAAAAGAAGGACTGTACATATAACCCTTTGTTGTATTAAAAATGGACTTAACCAGTTAATAGCAAGTTACAGCCAAGAATTAGTTACGTTTCAGAACTGCAAGGAAGACCTAAAAAGTCCAGGAGCTTAGTGACACAGTATCCATAATGGGATAGTTTTTCTTAAGCAAATAATGATTACCCAATCAGAACTATCTTTATACATTGAAACTAGCTTCTTTAGACTTATTACTTTGTTGCTTTATGGGAATAAAAATGTTATTTTATAAAATTTTAGAATGGCAGAGACAATCATAAAATGTACAGCAACGGCACTGATTCCTGTAAGTCTTTAAAAGTGTCGCTCCTATTGTGTAAAAACAAAGGGAACTTCAGCGTGTAATAGCACTGTTTGCAGCTTTACTTCCAGTTATATGCACAAATATGAAAACACATACTGTAACTTTCAAAAAGACAGTAAAAAATAACACATAGCCACCCTACCCTCTGAACAGGGTGGGAAGCACGGTACAGCTTCACTTCATCACTCGGGGCTACGTGGTATTGGACCAATACACCAAGGGCTTGGTAAGTTTTGTTTTTCAGCAACATTAACATATTATGACATTAACATATAAAAATATCTCTGGTGTTTTGATTTACTGGTCAGTCACAATTCCTCCTCTGTAGTGCAGTGTGGGACACTCACTAGGGATCAATATACAAATAAAAGTGACTGACACAGAGTTCTGATGTCACCAGATTCATAAGATCTCATTCATTAATACTGTGACTCCAGACAAATATTTACATGCCTGCATGCGTTAAAACCAGAAAGACATCTTTCTGACCCACAGGGTGACAAAACATATTTTCTAAAATTTTCATTGCCTAAACGCTAGTATACTACTGCATACATAATACCTTCCTGTGAGTTTTATGTTTATATACTGTACATGTGACCAACAGTTTGAGTAAGAAGCAACGTTATTTGTAATCCTATATACCACTACCAGTTTGGAATGAAAACATGTTATATTTATATATATATTTATATATTTTTTATCTTTAAGAAAAAGAGACCATCAGGGAAACCTTTTGGCTTATATTCAATGCTTCTGTTTCAGATATGCAAAATGTAATTCCATTGAGTTGTTAACACACATTTGTTGGTCTTTCAGAAAGTATATGAAAAAAGTCTTCAGAAGAAAATCCACAATTAGAGAGTTTAAAATCGAACGTAACAGAATACTTTCACTTCTCTCATTCCCCTCCAGCATCCTCGATGCCCCCTACAGGGTCATCCCATATATTCCTGCTGGTTTCTGTGAGGCACAGGTCTATAAGTCTGGGTGACATTGCAACAGTCTGTTGATGCGTTCAGTTACAGAATTTTCAGAAGAGGAGAAATGGTTCATTCCATTAAGAACAAAAAGAAAACAAATCAATGCTAGGTGTTCTTAAGACCCATCGTTATCTCTGTCTACACGTGTCCAGCAGCACAGCTGAGTTATTAACTGTGGGAAGGTTGAGATGTGTAGATTTATAAACATTCTCAGTCTCCGGGATGAACCACAGGTGGAAAAGCAATGGCGGAAACTTTTCTGCTTTATGTTAAAGAGCCTTAACACACAAAATAGAAGTTCCTTTATATGGACTTATTTTTGTTTGTTTTCCTGAACTTTCCAGCAACGAATGTCTGATTCCAGAGTTCTGTATGAAAGGATGGATTTCTTCAATAGGAAAGATTCAGTACATGACGGTAGTTTTCAAATACAGTCTTCCATCTAAAACAAACGATAAAAATAATTAATGACATGGCACTTTAGGAACAAATGTGGATATAAGAAATGCAAAATTAGGTGTGAAATTCTGGCTTTTATCTTCCTTTCACTTGCTTAGGACGTAACAGTTTTCACATATTCTCAAAATTAATTTCATAATTACATGAGTTCATAGGATCCAGCAGGGCACAGACGTCTTAGTTCTCATAAATATATATTTGCTACAATGATATCAGTTCCAGACCACTCAGGAAATAGATAAGAGTTTGTGTGTATGTGCATTGCTGATATGCAAAGCTAGTGACTTTCTGTTGAATGACAATTACTTCCACCAAGATTGCAGAACCAAATTTTCTGGGAATGCACTCAGGTGTATCTCCATCACGAAAGCCGACTCCCTCTCACCCTCCAGCAGTGTTGCTGAATATTCTAGGTGACGTGGCCATTGTCTGCTTGTGCTGCTGCTTATTTGAAGACCACCACTGCTATTTTAACGTCGCCAAGAGAGCAGAGCTTTTCATCACTGCCCTGAGATAAACTCAACAAATAAACATTAATTTAGAAGTATACTACCAAGCTTAAGGCATGGTTTTGTGGGATGTGAAAAGTAATGAAAGCTTGGACATACTGTATGAACTATTTGAATGATACAGAAATAAGAAACGGGAAATTAATTTTCCAATACAAAACACACACAAAACCTGAGTCCATTTTTTGGATATGTTACACTCTAATCTGTCCCCTCTGTGTTTAACCTAACCTTCAGATGTATATAAAATATGACAGAATTTCAAGTATTCCCAGCTACAAGAGAGGGTACAATGTTTGGAAAAATCATTTTCAAAATTTGAAAAATAAATATCAGTGTAGACATGTGAAAAGTGTCCAATTTTCAGGAAATAGAAACAGCCCTAAAAATTGATTGTGAATCTCCAAACTGGTAAGTCTCATGGAAAAAAAAAAACAGCCATGTCACTGTTCTGGCCAATATTAGAAGCAGAAAGATTTATTAAAGTGCTTGTCTTAAATGTTTTGAGATGACAAATGTTAAACTCCCTAGAATACTTAAAACATTTGTTTATTATATGTATGTGTGTGTGCATGTGGGTTTGTGTGTACAGTCTTCCATGCATCTGTATATGTGGTGGGGGGGGGCTGTCAGTGGACAAAATGGCAGCATCAGGTTTCTCCTTTATCATCCGTGTTTAGGGAAATGAGTTCAGATCATCAGGCAAGTGCCCTTAAACACTGAGTCATCTCACCAATCCATACGTTAAACTTTTGAAGAAAAATATGTGCTAAAGGTTATTAGTATATTGCCTATTTTCACCATATTTTATTCCCATCCCCTGACCAGATAGCCTTCTACAAGTACCACACCCATATTCTTTATATCATCTCTATGTGTTTTTGTGTGCTGTAGTCACAGAAAAAAAAAAAAATCTATTCTTGATTCTGAGTAAATTTTACCAAAGTATTATGAGACATAAAATCCAAATCAATAGAAGCTTTCATCTCAAGGAAATCATAACAGTTCTTATTATCAGTAGAACCAACAATTCCCAAGTGCATATTGTGCTAAAGATACATTAAAGTTTATTAATTAAAGTTTATTAAGTGAGCCGACTGGAGAGGACAGAAGTCATGGGCGTTGTACCAACAGTCAGGGACTTTGCATAGGACCAACCTAGGCCCTCTGCATGTGGGTGACAATTGTGTAGCTTAGTCTTCAGCAAGGCTCTGAACAGTGAGAGCAGGACCTCTCCCTGGTGCTTAACTGGCTTGTGGTAAACTGTTCATCGCACCAGTTTCCCCGGCCCTGACTCACCTTAATGTCAGGAGCTCGGTCATACCTCAACTTATTGAGCCATGCTTTCTGCAAGCCCATGGGAAACCCCTTTCTTACTGAATGGGGATGGAGGAGAAGGTGAGGGGATGGGAGGGGAAGAGAGAATGGAATCTGGGTGATATGTAAAATAAATGAAAAAAGTTATTTCAATTTTATGAAAGCAAAAATAACAAAAGTTATCAAGTCTGGAGATGGAAGAGAGAGTAGGATAGCAGGGAGGGTTAGTTAGCAAAACTGACATTAATGGCCATATGGGAAAATAATCTCTCTCTCTCTCTCTCTCTCTCTCTCTCTCTCTCTCTCTCTC